AGGTAGGACTGCACAGCGGCTGGTGAGGGCAAAAAGGAATGAGAGGAGGCAGGGCTGGGCCCAGACCCCCGTGTTTCCCTTTGTCCATCCGTCTCTTGCTCCTAGAACAGCTGCTGGCAGGAGAAAGCTTTTCTTCCAGCAATGCTGGAGGACGCCAGGACCGCAATGCAGACACAATGCCCACACCCACTGACAACCCCCACTCTGACGGGGCAGCTTGATCTTCCAAATTACTAAAGCAGCAGTAAGGATTTCAGATGGGCACACAATCACAAGGGTAGCTAGCATCCAGTCCCACTCGCTGTGCGCCAGGCACTGTGTGAGGCAGCCTGTTACACGCCCGTTCTCGTTCGGCCTCCCGGTAACTCCACAGACCCATCAGTCCATTTTGCAGATGCAGTAGCTGAGGCCCAGGAATGCTCTGTGGCTTGTCCAAGGTACACAGAGCAGCAGGGGCAGCTGAAGCAGCTTGCTCTCAAATTGCACCCCTCACGGGGATGGGGTGCCCCACCAAAGGACGTGACCAGGGCAGGGATGGGGAACAGGCCTTTGGTGCCCTTGGGTGATGCTTCTCCATCCCAGGCTGCTGGCATGGGGGCTTCCGGCATGATCTCGGTTATGCACACATAACCTACCAGGTATATGTGTCATCTTGGCGGGGTTAGGGGGCACCCAGGTGTTCAGTAAAACATGATTCTGGGGGAGCTCTCAGGGTACTTCTGGGTGAGCGCGACATCTGAACCAGCAGGCGAGTAAAACAGGTGGCCATCCCCAGTGAGGGTGGGCCTCGTCCAATCCATGGAAGGCCTGCTAGAAAGGCTAAGAAGGGACTGAGTGCCCTCGGCCTGACTGCCTCTGAGCTGGGGCATCAGCTCTGCCCTGCCTTCAGAATCAGACCGAAACATCAACTCTTTCTGGCTCTCAAGCCTACCCACTTTCTTTTTTTCTTTCTTTCTTTTTTTTTTGGAGAGATTTTTGCTATAGGGCGCGTGTGCTCGCCAGACAGAGAGAGACAGAGACAGAGAGACAGAAAGCGAGAAATCACTCCCCAGGGGGGATGGCCACGCCGCAATCCCTTCTCCTCCATTCTCCTCTCGGGATCTTGGGCACGCACGCACACGCGCCTGGTGTGAGTTTAAGCCACCAGGTCTGAGACTCGAATCACGGTCGGCTACATGGGAGTCCAGCGACATAGTCCAGCTAACTGCTGGTTCCCAAGCCTACCCACTTTCAAACTGGAGCTCACACCACTGGCTCTCTTGGTTCTCAGGCCTTCGAACCACGCCACAGCTCTCCTGGGTCACCAGCCGGCTAACCCCAGAGCTTGGGACTTGCCTCCATGACTGTGTCTGTCTATGTAACTACGATGGGACGTCATAAAGTGTGTAGAAAAACTGAGTTCAGGTACAAGTTTATTTGGTGTAAGAACATTGGAAACCCATGTATAGTTTTTTCATAATGAGCATTTCCCATGAACTACTATCATGGCGTGGTGGCAATGCAAGGCTCTGCAAGGCTGGTTCACACGAGAAGGTTCCAGATTGTACCGGAGACCACCCCGAACCTACCAGGTATATGCGTGCCCGTGATCTAGCGCTGGCTGAAGCTAGGGGTGGGTTGAGAGTGTTCCTCTTTCTCTCTCTGTCTCTTGCTTATGGAAGAAATAAATAAACTTTAAAAAAAAATTTAGGGCCAGCAAGTGGCATGATGATTAAGGCACTAGATCCCACATGGTCAAGTCTTTGGTTTGAGTCCCAGACCCAGCGAATTGAAATACACACTGGGTATGTGTGTGTGCATGCCCAAAATCCTGAGAGGAGAATGGAGGGAAAGGTCAACCTCCCTGGGGAGAAGGGGGGTTTCTCAATTTCCCTCTCTCTCTCTGTCTGTCTCTCTTCAGTGAATGCATGTGCACTATGACAAAAATATAAATAAATAAGACTCCAGACGAGGGTCACTCATTCCCTTACAGACAGGAAAACATGCTCACACAGGGCGGGGGGGAGCCACTGGCTGGAAGCAGCAGGACTGGTGAGCAGAACCAGGCATGCACAGCTGCAAAGACAGCACCGCACTTCGACAGAGCCAGGGAAGCAGCGCAAGGCCAGGCCACACCCTGAGACCCAGCCCCAGACTCAGAGCTCATCCGTAGCGCCCTGTGCCTGGGTTTCCCCATTTGTCAAATGAGGACTGCGTCATCGGAGAGCCGCCCCAGGCCACCAGTCATTATACAATGCCGGTCTCTGCTGAGTGCTCTGCTTGGCCAGGAGGAGCTGACTTATGTCCTTAGGAGAGGCGGCCCAGAGGGCACAAAGATCACCCCTGAAAAGGAAGCACGCTTGGGGAGCAGCCTGTTCTGATCGGGAGCTAAGCCTGAGCTCCACCCCGGGCTGGCAGCCGCTCATTCTAAACCAACCAAGCAAGCGCAAAGGCCACCAACATACATTAATAGCGTGAGGGCCGCACCCAAATCTCATGCCATGCCAGCTGCCGACGGTGGACTGCAGAGCATGGCACAGCGGAGGGCAGTGCCCCTGGTCAGTCACAGGTCGGGGCCCAGGCTAGGCCAGGAAGGCACCCCCGGCCCAGCCAGGCCCTGCCCAGGGCCGAGGCACAGGCGGGGTTTGCAATGGGGCAGGGCAGGACCCAGGAGGCCTCCACCCCACATAGTTCAAAGAGCCCAGCCTCCAAGACGCCTATGTCCACACTGCCACACCCTCAGCACAGCCAGGGTCCCACTGTACAAGTCCAGGGTACCGTCAGAGGGCGGCGCTGGGCCTGCCCTCACCCACAGCAACTGCAGGCACAACTCAGGCTCCAGATGGGACCAGGGTGGGCGCCCTTCCCCTCACAGCAGCCCAGGGGCATAGGTCAGGGCAGAAGGCAGGCCCGGTGGGAATCTGAGGCTCTCCCTTCGCCCCCTGACAAAGTCTGTCCAGTCGATCCCCAGGACAGCTGGGAGCCAAGAGCAGCACCAGGGCGGGCTGAAGGGTTGGCGGGAAGAGCCTGACGGGAGGCCAGGGCCGGGCCAGGCAGGGCAGTACCTGAATCTGCACGGTGGTGGCATCCAGGACGGTGACCCGAGACCCACAGCTGGCCCACACGGCGTCCTCCAGGCTGAGCAGGGTGCGGACAGGCCCCGGCCCCACGGTCAGGCACACGGGAGGGCGCTCCAGGTCCCACGGGACTCCTCCTGGGGGAGAGCGGGGCAGGTCAGGGCCTGGGGCTCCCTGAGCTTCTGGAACAGGGCAGACCGTGCAGGCCTAGCGGCCCCACCACCTTCCCCACGGTCTACAGCTCCTCCATCCCTCCTCCCTCTGACTCCCACCACCTACGCCCCACCCCTCCAGGGACTGTCCCTCCTCCAGCCCTCTCTCCATCATCCCTCCCTCCCTTTCCTTCCTCCCTTCTCCCCTTCCCACCTCTCCCTCTCTCTCTCATCCACTCCTTCCTTCCACACACACTCTGTAATAAGCACCTACTCCAAGCCAGGCCATGAGCTGGGGGCTTGGAAGACAGAGGGTCAGACACAGGCCCTGCCCTTGAGGAAACTCTGCTGGTCGGAGAAACCACCGACTACCGAACGATGTGCCCCGCCATATGGGCACACGTGCACAGGGCCTGGGAAACCACTGAGGTGGCAGGAACTGGCTCTGCTCAGGGGATAGCCAGGGAGGCTTCACAGAAGAGGCAACACCCACACCCGGCCCTGCTGAGAAGGCTGTATGATACGACGGGAAGTGTCCTGGACAGAGTCAAGAAACCCGGGGTCTGGCCCTGGTCTGGTATCAACTAAGGACCTTGAGCACATCGCTCCCTTTCTCCTGGCCTCAGTTTCCCACCTGTACAATGGGGAGGGTGGTGTTAATAAGACTCTCACATCGCAGCTTATCCAGAGCAAACCTTGACTCCTCGTGGATCTCACCTACCCCAAGCACCACTTTACCAGGACCCCTTCCTCCCCTAGAGACCCTCCCCCTGCCAGGGGCAGTCGATGCCTGTCTGCTTCCCTGAAGCCAAACAGGCCATGGAATGTGGCCTGGCCCTGGACGAGGTTCTCCCCTGCCCCCACGGGTGCTGGGCTCACCCAGAACAACTGCCCCTGGCCCCTTCACCATGGGCTGAAGTCGCGCCTGATGACGCACAGAACCCCATGGCTGTTGTGTGCCACCAGGGTGCCAGGCAGGAAGGGGTGGCTAGGGAAGAGGCTAGGACCGGCCCGAGGCGGCCTGGGCGGTGGCCCTCCCTGGACAGACCAGCAGCAGCTGGGACCTGGGGGGCAGGTCAGAGGCACTGCTGGCTCGCCCGTCCCCTGACAGCCCCCAGGGGGAGTACAGAGCAGACTGCCACAGACACCCCTCTCCCAGCCCACGGCTGGGTTGTAC